TGTGAAGAAAAGAGATGTGCTTTTTCACAACATTTTGTGCTTTTCCCGTCCCTCCTCTGGGCATCCACGGTCCTGTGTGAGTTCACAGCTTTACTGAGGAGGTCAGAGTTCACATTTAGTCACAGTGAGGAGCGGTTTGGCCATAATCAAGTCTAGCAGGCTGTGTCTGTGGTATTTGTCATGAGAGGATTGTGGAAAGGTTGGGAAACACTCAGGGAAGCTCTTAGGTGTGTCACAAATTCGATGGTAGGAGGACTTCCTGTCTACTTAATTAAGCAATTAATTTCCCCATTTTCCTACACTGTCATCCTTGGGAGTGTAAATTTCAATGTTTAAATCCTCTGTCTACAATATATGTGCACAGTATGGCTAGTTATATTATTCGTTGTCTGTCACTTATTGTCTAGTAGTATTTCTGCTATGTTCTTCACCAAGATTACAGGTATCTGTTGTCTCTTTTCTAAGAGTTTTTATAGTTTTTTAAGACATTTATAAGCCGTTTTGGTGGTAGTAGGGGTCTCAAACCTCACTAAGTATTTGGTGCTGACCAAACCACATCAAGTATCAGAACACTTTCAAGTACCAAAAGTTGGTATTGAATTCCTAGACTTTTAGGCAAAGTTCATGTACCCCTTGTCAAAAGGGGTCATACCAAGATTCAAAACAACAGGTGATATCATATTTTACATGCTGGTATCAATCTAATATCACAGTGATTGTTCAGTCTTGTGCACCAGGCAGCCCTATAGCCAGCTGACACTGTTTTCATTCTGCAACTGATTTGCAGTAAAAGCCTACACTAAGCAGTGTGTTTTGTTCGTGTGTGTTTGTTTGTGTAGTGTTAGTGCCCGTGTGATTGAAGGCAGCGTGTTGCATCGTGTTGGGGCACATGCGTCTGCCTCAAGGCAACAAGTCATCCACGTGTAACTCTGAAAAGTCTCAACTTGCCTCTACCTCCGGTCCACAGCCTTTACTCAATCTCGTCTGTATCTTTTACGTTATATTTTCAAATGAATACATTTAAAATGTAGCAATTACCACTTGCAGCATCAGCTTCACTGGGAACATTTCACTTGTGTCTTTAACAGTGAGTAACAGTGTTGAAGATGCTCTCGCATAAAGTTGTAGTACAATGCCTTAACTGTATCTGGTATGTCACTGGCATCATCTGGATGGCAGCCTTTATGTGCAACTAGTTAAAGGTTAATAATGTATTGAAGGAAAGAATGTGGAAAAAATAAAGAATGTGAGTTAGCTATTAGTCGTCGTGTGTGTTTAAACAGCAAGTCTTTCCCAGGTGCTATACGATCCCAAGGATTACAGGGGAGGGGGATACAATAGGGCTACACACACACACACAGAGCACCCCCATCCCCCCAAAAAGAAAAGAGAGGAGGGGAGACTGGTGGGAGGGAGGTAGGGAGATAGCAGATCAGAAGGAGGAAGGGAGAGGTAAAGGAAGCGTGAATTCAGTAGTAGGCCGACTTTAGCTCACCTCCACTACAAAGACTTCACAGGACAGCGCACACAGGGAGGCACAGACTCTGGAATATCTCCTACAGTATCTGCATGTATATGAATTAACCGGTTTCCTAACCTTGGAAAATGGTGGGACTCTCATCCACTGCTGTCGAGGGTAAGTGTCTTTGGAAGGTCTTTATAGCTTGTCAATATAGGCAGGAATCTAAAGCTAAAGAAGGTGTGAGGGTTTGTAAAGATATGTTAAAATATGGAACACTGTGAAGCAGTAAAGGTGTTGTTAGCATGAGACTGAATGCTAGGCATCAGGTGATGTTTACTCTACGCTTTAAGCATCATGCCAGCTTGCTGAAATGCCAAGAAAGGCAGTAATGTTGAAGTGTTGAGAAAGCAACAGTTTGCCACCCAGACTCAATAGTGAAACACTGCAATTTTTGAGTCACTAGAGACTCTTTGTGGGTTGCAAATTCTTGTGTGATTAGCTGGAACGCCTGCCTGCAACAATATTGTGAAACGAGGTTGCTGCCAAATGACTGAATTTTGTCACTTTCGACATACTGTGAAGTTATGTGTGTGTGTGTGTGTGTGTGTGTGTGTGAGTGATGTGTGGCAAGATAAGTAAGCTCAGTATGAAGAAAGCCTTTGGCATGAAAGGAGGGAGTCAAAAAAAAAAAGCGTGCACCCGACTGAGGTCACATTATTCTTTATATCAGGGTTTGTTGGACATGTTAGCACAGGTGCTCAACTCGCTGACATTATTAACCCCCCCCAACCCCCACCCCCCTTCTCCCTCCCTCAAAGAAAATCTGATAATTCAAGCCTCTTTTAAAGGTCTGAGTCTGCACTGTTAAACAAACTATTCTCTCTGCTTCGTCAAACACTCACAAACACACTCTGCAGAGTCTTGCACTAACAAAGTGAGGAATGTGTTTAGTGTTTAACAGCAATTGTCAGACTAGTGTGAGGAGGTAAATGTTTGAGTGTGTCCAAAGCTTTGAATGGCTAAACACATTCCTGCCGGCATGGTGCACTGCCTGCACCCATCTTTTGTGCTTTCTAAACTTTTAATAATCCCTCATCATGTTTTGTCTCAATTTTCTCAAGTCAAATACTCCTTCTAGTAGTTCCAGATATTCCATGGCTTCTGGCCTGGCTTTAATTAAACCATATCCAACCTGTTTTTTTTATGTAGCATTCGTATCTTGTACAAGCTTGTGTGTAGTTGCCCTCAGGTGCTAGACTCAAAATCTGTTTTATCTGGCTTTTAAAGACATCAAAGGCACACATAACGCACTCACACAAGCACACACAGAATAACAGTTACTGCAGAGATGTAGGGGACCATGTAGTGTGAGTAGTGTGGTGTGTTGATAATAAAGGCATGACTGGGGACTTAAGGGTGGTCTTATGTGCCTCACATGCCAAACACTACGTAGTAATTCCTCTTTGCTCATTTTGGCACAAGCAGAATAACACTGTAATCGCCAAATTGGATAATCAGCTCTTCAGAGATCTGGTCCAAGTGAAATAGTGAAATAGTTTTATGAGTGTTGTGACCCAATTCACACAAACTCCTTGAAAGCAACGCCTTGATTTCTGTGTTATATTTTATTTAGTGCTGACTGGTGTACATTTTCTGTTTCTCTCTGCTGAGAATGACTCATGCTGTCTTCCACTCAGTTAGGGGAAGCCCAGCGGTGCACTGAAGCCAGAATCTCAACAGCTGGAACCTCTGGCAGAGAGACAGCGCTCACCAGGCCAAGACATCCCACTCACATGGGTTTCCCCTCCTTCCCCTTCCTCCCCTTCCTTATTTCTCCAAAGTGAATCGGATCTTAATGAGGAGACATTCCAGGTCCCTCCGTGGATTAATGCCTCATGCCCACTTCGAGTGCGATCTTCCTTTTATTACAATACAAGGAAACCACACTAGGAAAGAAGACAAACAGACACAGGCAAAAACACACCTACTGCTCTTGTAACTCTTGGCTGTGGCCTTGGCAGGGCATTGTTAAGCCCATAGGAAGACCCACCTCAGGAAAGTATGCCTGTCTTTAAGGAGTGGGAGCAGCTTCACATGTAGTGCACACATCATCGACAAACACCAGATATATCTAACAGCTTATCAAGACTTTCTGCTTGTCAGCGGTGATTACATACAAGATTGCTGTGTCAGAGTAATAGTCCAACAGTCTGCCTGAACTCATTAATATTCTCCTCAAACTGACACACACACACACACACAACAGGCTGGCCTGTGCCAAAGTTCACTATTAAACACACATCATACAAGCGTTCCAGTGTGTTTTATGTTTTTTGTGCATGTCGGTATGTGTGTGTTTGTATTTGTTTACTGCATCAGGCCTTGTTGCCACATGACTGCCCACTGAACAAAAGCTTTTCTGGCTCAGCGGCTGTCCCGTGGCTGAACCCAGCGAGATGCACGGTTCAGCAGGTCTAATGTGGCTGGATTGTGAAAAGGGGGGCGGGGGGGCAAACAAGTGTGCCAGCAGTGACTCAGCCAGATGTCAGGTTCTGTGGAGGATTTTAGGATTATAGAGGGGGGGGGGAAAGTGCATTAGGATACATCAATACAGAGGGAAAGAATACAAAAGAAGCTATGAACATAGCAGAAGGAAGGGAGAGTCATGTCGGCTGATTGGTGGCAACTCGCTTGTTTCTGGCAGAAAATCAGATAAAGGAGGAATCCAAGCACAGCAGCAGGTCGCGGACCTGTTCTCAGGAGGTCCAGCAGCTGTTGGAGGGAGACAGTTTATTTAAGTTCTGTTCTGAAAACAGGGAGTGGACCAGTCCCGCCTCTCAGATCAACATGTGATGTGAAACATATATTCCTATAAGCTGAGTCCTCACATCATCATCAGCCCTGTGAAGAGTGTGTATTGAAGGAAGGTCTGCTTGTCTGAGCCAGCTTGTAGTGCACGACTTTTAGATAAAGATCAGGACCCTGTGAATGAAACTCTGCTGGCTGATACATTTGGCTGTGCAAAGTGGTCCTTCAGTTATTCTTGTCAGAATCTCATATTTCTGTCAACATCTTTACAGTCTTGCAGCATGGATAATTAGCATTGAGAGTGACAGTTAATTGAGATGTCTGTCAGTCTTTTGAGCCAGCAACACTTCAGAGCTGCTGCACAAAGACAACACTTTGCCCCTCGTGCAGGATGTTCTTTGCATAATACTGTGTAAGAGTTCTTATTTTTGGTACCTCCACTTCCACTTTACTTCTGGGTTAATGAGCAATTAGCAAACATGTTTCCTGTCACTCCTGCCTTTTTTCATTGTTTAGTCTGGCTAGTAAGCGAGAGAGGAGAAGGGGATAGAGGTGTGATAAGGTGGCAGATTGATATTGACAAACTGTGACAGAAAATGAAAGAAAGACACAGGGAAAGCAAAGCAGACATACACCTTGGGATTTGTTTAGACAGTCTGACCTTTGCCCTCTCTGCTGTTACACTGAACCCATGCCCCCCTGACCTTTGCCCCCTTCCCACTCTGTGCAGCGATGGATGTGTTGGTGAGTGAGCTGGGCGTCCTGCTGAAGATGCTGGACCAGGAGAACCTCAGCTCTTCCACGCAGGAGAAGAAGACCTCCGTGTGGAACCTCCTGCAGCAGATACAGCCATCAGGTCAGTGAGAGGAGGAAAGACAAATGAAGTGATTTTTGTCTGTGTTTTATTTCAGACCCCCAGGAGAGATTTTCCACATAATAAAAATGTAGAATGCACTCATTTCAGGTATAGGCCTATATTGTGGGACAGAGGTAATGGAACCACTTCTCTAGATTGCAGTTAACATTTATCCAAAGCGACTTACAATTGCAATACGTGTCAGAGGTCGCACGCCTCTGGAGCAACTAGGGTTAAGTGTCTTGCTCAAGGACACAATTGTAGATGGGTTACAGTGGGGAGTTGATCCCATGTCTCTCACACCAAAGGCATGTGTCCTATCCATTGCGCCATCACCACCCCAAGCTTAAAACCTAAAATATCAGAGATCCAAAGTAATGTTTCTTACCATGCTGTAAGTGTGTCTGTTTTCTCTTTCCCCACCTCAGGAACGGACTACATCTACATGAACTCATCAGTGTACAGAAATGGCACCAGCTTTGTAGAGTCCCTCTTTGAGACATTTGGTGAGTTTGAGCTTCAACATGGGTGCATGGGTGAACCTATCTATATTTATGAGCTGCAAATATCATGTTGTCTTTATGTACAAGAGTGTGAGTTTAAATGTATGTTTTGTTTATAGACTGTGAGCTTGGGGACCTGAAGGATGTCACAGATGATCTGAAAGAAGACAAGAACACACAAAATGACACTCTAAAACAGGCATGTGGACAATTTATAACAAACTGTTGATGTATCCCCGTTTCAGAAATATCAATTGCATGTGAAGGCATTGACTTTTCAGTCCTTTTCAGCATTCACTATCCAAATTCAACTTTGCAAAATCTAGAAAGGAAAAACAGGGATTGTGTTCCATGTTGTGGGGGTTTCCCATTCACACATGCTCATCAATCTGCAGGCTGTTGGAAGAGTAAAGATTTAGAGACACGCCCTGAGCCCATGTGTCTAATTTATGGATATCATTTTGAGGGTTATGCTCTGTATGTCTTTGATGATGTAGTTCCTGGGCTGTGAATATAAAAAATATTTCGTGGTTATGGAGGAAATTTGAGAGCTTTGTTTTTGTGTGTCTCCCTCAGGAGAACTGTGCAGACTCCCCTGCCCCGCACTCAGCTGACTCTCCACCCCCTCTGCCCACAACGCCTCCTCCTGAGGACTACTATGAGGAGGCAGTGCCACTCAGTCCGGGCATGATGCCCGAATATATCATTACACGAGGTCAGCGTCTTCCTACCTCTGATGAACTCAGTGCCCTTAATGTCATTTTGCTCCAAAAACCTCTAAGTCAGTACTAAGCACTTAATCTAACAGACCTTCCATAATTACAAAGTACAAGTTACATTAAAGTGCATGATGGAACATAAGGACTAATTAGGGTTTTTCTTCCATTTTCAGTCAGGCCTAGTCCCCCCAACTCTATAGAGGATGGGTATGAAGATGCTGAAAACAACTACCCAACTACCTGCATAAACTCACGCCGCAAAAACTCATGTGAGTTGAGAATAAAGTTACCCCAAAACAAGATTACAAATAACAAAAAATAAAACATGCTATCTTCTCTGTCATTGCTCTCTCAGACAACGACTCTGACGCTCTGAGCAGTTCCTATGAGTCCTACGAGGAGGATGAAGAAGAGAGGAGCCCCAGCGTCCAACTCACTCATCAGTGGCCCTCGGATGAGAGCTCCATGCCTCCTGCCAGGGACTGTCGCATCTGTGCCTTCCTGCTACGCAAGAAGCGATTCGGCCAGTGGGCGAAACAGCTCACTGTCATACGGGAGAACAGACTACAGGTGAAAAGTTTCAGGAAAGCATACACTCACACATTCAGGATACATATTGCTATTGTTCTTTTCCTTTGCATCTTACAGTATCCTGTGTTCGTACTCCTTTCTGTAGTGCTATAAGAGTTCTAAGGACACATGCCCCTATGTTGACCTGCTGCTGCCCCAGTGCACTGCGGTCTACGCACCCAAAGACAGCAAGAGGAAGCACCATGAACTCCGGTTCACCTTACCCAATGGAGATACACTGGTGCTGGCTGTACAAAGCAAGGAGCAGGCCCACAGATGGCTTAGAGTAAGCTGCACTTTGAAATTATATCTGTGAATGCAGGCATGGAGACAGGCCATCAATCTAGTTGACAATCACAGTGCAAAAACAAATCTCAAAAGGAACCATACAGTCGAGAGTGACACGTGTAAAATATCCCCACAGGTTGTTAGAGAGGTGAGCGGTCAGAGCGCAGGGCCTGAGGAATCTGCGTCTCCCGTCCTTCCAAGAAAACCTGAAGTTGATAAGGTAAGTGTAGAAGAGAGGATGTTTGTGTCAGCACGTCCCTGTTTGTTTTTATCCTCAAGACATAATTTATCTTCACAGCTGAGGTGAGGAAAAGTCGTTGACAGGCAGCAATTGTGTTGTCACCATCAATTTTCCTAAACAATTGCTTGGCTCAACATAGTACACCGTAATACCTGTATTTGGCTTGCAGAACAAAGAGGAGATATGTAGCGTAATTGGGTGTTAAGACAGTGTTGGAACAGACACATCCTCTTTAACAAGTTACCAACCTGTCAGAACATAAACTGCAAAAGACACTGCCTTATATTAAAGTGCAGGAGGAAGGGAGAAGAGCCAGTAATGAGGTGGTAGGGAAAAGGGCAGAGGATGAGACTGTTTGTCTCATTCATAAAGAAAAGTGTAGAAAAGCCCAGCTGTAGTTTGATATTGGCGGACAGACAGATCCTGTGTAGGAAAAATCTAAACCTGTGTTTTTGTGCCTCTTCCTCAGAGGTTATCTGCAGAGAGGAACACGTCAGATTCAGACAGTGTGGGTGTGTCAACTGCAGAGAACTGCAGAGAGAACGGTGAGACAGAGACACCCAGCCTCAAATCAATACAGCAGCTGTTTGACAAAGAATATTATCTCAAAGTCCACCAAGATACATGCTTTTTCAAATGCACTTATCTTCAGCTGTGGATGGAGTTTGCTCAGTTGTCATCATTCGGCTTAATTTCAATACTATTGCATTCATGTTATGCGGGATGGATGTTGCAGGGACGACTCATGTGTATTGACAACTTAAGACAATTGTGTGATTGCAGAGATGGACATGTGAGTGTTAAAAAATACTTACAATATAACACAGATACGTATTAGACTACAAGACTACAAGATGCAGTTGATAGCTCTCTAAAAATAAAACTAGTAATTGGGCCTTGAGTTAAGATATTGTTTGTCAAACCACTGTTTACAGTCTTTTCAGTTTAAACCGTTTAAGCAACTTTCTGCATATATCGTCTTGCCAAAGATACATTTGGACCCAAAGCAACTGTTTAGTCCTTAATTTTTTGATGTAGGCAAGGTGAAACGGGGTGCTTTCGCTGCAGGCCGTAAAATCACACGTATCATCAGCTTCTCCAAGAAGAAGCCCCCTCGGCCAGAAGATCCCAGGACATCCTACAGCGACCCTCGACAAGGTCAGACCTCACTTCACTATCACTGTTGTGTTCTTCAGGTTTGCAGACGTGTCACTTTTTCTTTTTTCCTTCTCACCATGTAGGCTACCTGTCGTTGTTGGTGAATCAGGTGTGGCGGGAACAGTGGTGCTGTGTGTGCAGAGGCTCCCTGCACTTCTACCACGACAAAGGAGACCCTCGGACCTCCCTGCCTTCACTTCCTCTGCACGGCTGTGAGGTGGTCCCGGGGCTGGGACCAAAACATCCCTTTGCCTTCCGAATCCTACGGAACAGCACAGAGGTGGCAGCTCTGGAGGTAAAATAATGAGCATTTGTTCTTTTTATTTTTAAGCTGCACTTATCAGTACTTTTATATTAATAATTATTATTAATAATCACATTTTATATAGGCTAGCAGCTCTGAGGAACTTGGAAGGTGGCTCGGAGTCCTCTTGGCAGAGACAGGCTCCGCGACAGATCCAGAGTCACTGCATTACGACTATGTTGACGTGGAAACCATCGCAAACATCCGCGACGCTGCTCGGCATTCCTTCCTGTGAGTGAGACGAGGTCAAAGCAAGGCCAAAGGCCACTGACCAATGCGGTGATGTTTAGCCCTCACACAGATTTCATTTCTCCTTTTACTCTGATCCTAGGTGGGTCACATCCTCCAGCAGTACCTCCACAGACTCCAGAACATATGATGAGGTCCCCAATGAGGACATGCAGGTGGGACGCAAGTGCTCAGACGCACACACATAATTTTAAACCTCATGCATAATGGTTTACTTTGATGTGGCTAGATGTCTGTGTGTGTGCAGCTGTTGGGGACTGTCACTGTCTGAATACGACACCCCATATCAGTTAGCCGAACAGACAGACAGCGCTCTGTTGCACGTCTATCAATGACGGCTTTTTGTAGGCCAGTGTGTGGGCATGGGAGAAAGGAAAAACAGACCAAAAAAAGAAAAAGTGATCAATCTGGTGACAGGGAGGCAAGAGGTCATGGCAGTTTTACAGCCTGTAAACTCCTTTCTTGACCCCACTGACATGTACTTAAACAAATACCTCTCACCACCTCTAGCCCCAAACACACACCTCCATCATCTCAAACTAATTAATCTGAAGGTTAATTTATTGCTTAGCATAATATATAAACGTTGCCTTCTTTTTTTCCCCATGTCCTCATCCTTCTTTTTGCATACTTCCACATCTGTCATGTTCCCCCACCCCCTCTCTACTCCACCCAGTCAGAGGAGAACCGCAGACAGCAGTCTGGGAATCAGGGCAAGCGGCGCTCAAGTTTCTCCAGCAGCGACTCTGACAGAACCAAGCCTTTAGTCTCCCTAAAACGAACAGGTTCAAGTAAGTGTACCTCCAGGGATACTGAGTCTCTTCTCATGAACTATACTGACAGGTTGATTGAAACCTTAATTTATGCAGAAACTCACTGAGAGAAAGTTCTCTTTTGCAGAAGTGCCTTGTTTTAGAGAGAATTAAGTGATGATAAGGGCAAAGTTATCAAATACAACATTCACATCAAATGGTATTTCAATGACAGAGACAAACTGTGAGAAACTTATTAGTGTGCTATGTCCAAAGTTTTCGGAATGTTATTCTATTTGAAAGGTGCAGAGAAACTAAAAGCTGATTTCCCAAGGATGGTCTTAATTATAGGGACTTCAAAAAGCAGACTGCACTGTGCATATGTGGGGTTTGCAGGTTATTGAGGCTATTGAGGTTGTTGAGATATGTAGACAGCTTTTGAATCAGTAAAAATAAAAAGGAGCCCAGTGCTGTGTTCAATTCACCCACTAACTAACACGCCTTTCTCTTGCAAATTAATGACTTTATAATCTCAGAGTGTAAATGTGCATGCTGAACTGTGTCAGCACACACTTAATTGTTATGTAAGTAATTTCTGACCAAGCCAAAATCTGTAACGCACATGTTGTGATGCATACTGTATCAAAGGCATTATGACAGATCAATCAATAACAGAGCTGCACAATTTTAATTTTTATTTCAGCTGTTTCACAACCAACCAGACAGCTGAGGAGTATAATGTACCTTAAGACCAAATATTTTAGAGGCTTCCCTCCTGTGTCTTTTCATCTTTAGGCCCCTCTCTGCTACCCATCTGTCGCTCTCAAAAAAATAAAATAAAAAAATAAGGTTAGCTGCCTGCAGTGAGAATAATACAGATGGCAACCCTCTTAATAATGTTGTCACACAGGAGTTAGATTGCAATGGTCTAGTTTTGTTGGAGCTTACACTCTTTCAGTCCTTTCAGTGGTGTAACAATCCATTGACAGTCATAAAACTGGAGCTTTTATCAAGCTCAATATTACATTTTTCCTCTCTCTTCTCACTTTCCATTCATAATCTCTTCCCTCTCCCCTCCCCTCTCCCATTTGATCCGTTGTGTCAGACGGTCTCTGCCATACGAATAAATGAGATGAGTATCCTGAGTTTAGGAAAGAGATATTGGTGTGGTCGGCTGTCTCAGTGCTCTTCTCAGTGCTGTTTCACAGGCCTTCAATGTGACGTTCTGACACATCAAAGAGGCAGCGCTCTCCATGGCTGAGAGCTTAAGGATGTAACTTGAGATTTATTGGACACTCACATTAGATTCGCTGTCTTGTCTCCTGACCTCTCCCTCTGCAGGGGTGTGTGTGTTTATCTTTTATTTGTGCATCACATCAAGTGTTCCCTCCCAAAATCTTTGTTTAAAGTTAGGAAAAATGTCAAATTTGTGGGCTACGCTTTTGTGTGAGTTGTAGAATTGGCGTCATTCTCCTCATGTGAGGAGCATGACATTAATAAAGACAGGCAGAAATATCGCTGTGAGATGTTTTTTGTCTGTTTCCCATAACCCCTGAACATTTGACCCCTCACCTTTTGCTCTCTCCACCCAGACGCCAACCAATATGGAAAGTATGGGAAAACGCGAGCTGAAGAGGACGCCAAGCGTTACCTGAAAGAGAAAGAGGAGCTGGAAAGAGAGAGGGATGGGATACGAAATGCACTAGTGACCCTCCGACAGGAGAAGAAATTGCTGAAGGAAGAGCTGAAGACTGCCTCTGGTAAGGACAGAGCAGAGTCTTGAAAAAAGCAGGGCTAGAACTACATCTATGGTATATATAGCTTGATTGCTATTGAGACATCGGGGCACCAAGTCTTTCTAAGCAAAAGTATTAATAAGTTATT